GGGTCTCAGTTTGAATTGGGGATCAAAGGCTTATTGTTATTAGGTAAAGTGAGAAGTTGCCATTGGAAATGAGACATGTTTTGGCAACTGTCACTGAATTCAGTCTATATTTCTGCACTCTCTTCAGAAGGTATTAGGAGAGTCCTTTCCAAATCGCCCTGTGGAAATCCAGATTCATTTTCTACTAAGTTTCTTGGATCAACTAATCTAGCAAAAATAAAAAGTTAAAGCATTTGCCATGACTTGGTCTAAGTGGTCCCATGTTCTCTTTCTAGGGAATCGCAAAGGGTCTTTTGAGCAATCCATCCTAGAATATTTTCCTGAGGTGAGGTCAAACTTAAAGGTGCACGATTTGCAGAAACTTGAACATGGAATGGCATCTGCTTGTCTGAACACATTCGGCATCTCTCATTCTCTAAGATTCCTCACTGTCAATGTGTGTTTTACTCCTATTCTCCAAGTGCTCTGGGACATAATGTGCAAGAAATTGAATGAGGTTCAAGAGCTGGGTTTTTATCATGCCCTTATCTTGGTAAGGAATGTTTTTGTCTAGAAAGAGGGTCTGAAGGCTTTCTGGCCAAGGGCAGGCTATAAAGCTGAACCAGGAACAATAAAGAAGACGTGACAATAAAGGAGACATATGCATGCTTTCCTTATCGGCTTTACACTCTCTACTTAACGTAGACTTCATTGATTTATGTTTGGGGCATGAGAAAGTCTGAAGGGGTCCACTCTGGTGTTGTTAATCAAGGTTTCTGAGAGGAGAAGGCTTGGGAGCGCCAACACAGGATTCAACCCCTGGTAGAAAAGGCTTCTAACGGAGAGGTTCCCATGGGATCAGAAAGGGCTGGGATTGGGGAGAGACTGCTGTGCCTGTCTCAGCAGTGAGCAGAGCCTTCCCTCTAGGACCCGGTTTTCATTAATATTTGTAAACGGACACAGTGCTGCTACACTCTTTCTGAGCTTCCCAGAAATTCTTGGCCATATGGTGGCTGGAGAAAAATGATGAGAGTGACCTGACTTGTGGGTTTGATTCACGAGTCTGGCCGAAGCCAAGGAGCAGTGGAGCCTTCCGGGAAGCTCACACAGGGACTGGAGGTTCCAAGGCACTAAAAGAAAAGTGGAAGGACTGGATGAAATGAAGACGGAGGCTGAGTCCCTGAAATGAACCCCTGTTCTTTCCCTAACAGTCTCACTCGCACAGGAGTGCCTAATCTAGAGGTTGACCTTCATATTTGACCCATCTCATAACAAGTGTGTAACTCATGGGAAGGAGGGAAGGAATATGATGGGTGTGAACAAAGACACACAAAAAATGAGTAATGCAATATTCTGATAACTCCACAACACTGATAAAATTTTTTTTTGGAAGAGAATGATAAATAAGTCCAGCCATCCAAAAATACAATTAGAAATATCATAAATAACCAAAAGATATTATGGTAGGAATGAACCAAAACATAGATTTCAGGAAAGATGCTAATGATGCAATAGTATGAGTGAGGACGCATAAGTGGGGCCTACACCGAGATGCCACCCAACACTTGGAATCTACACTAAAAAGGACCAAATTATGTAAAGTCACCTTAAAACGAAGGATATCTTCAAAGTTGGAGGAATTGATTCAGATCTGGTTGAAGATATAGGCAATGTGAAACGTAACCGAGGGTGTTGGCATCATGGAAACTCGGCATGAAGACATCGCTGAGGCAAATGTTGGCCGTGCCCCTGCCAAGCACTGCACAGGGGAGATGGAGAGTTAGTCACAGGACTGTGAGTTTTCAAGTTCCATTCGTGAGGACTATTGTGAAAGAAAGGTGCCAAATGCCATCTGACATTAGTTCCTTTAACTTCCAGTGCCAATTCCGTGCTCGTGTGGTAGCTCAGGAGTTCCTGTTACAGTCTATTCTCCTGTAAGTTCGTAAGTAGGCGTCCTTGCTTTATGGGCTTGGCTAATGTGAGTCTGCTCCAAGAGGTGGCTTCCTCCTTGGTGTGTAAACAAAAATCAGGTCCACGGTCATGATCAAGGCTGTGAGTTCTGCCCTGAATGCCTTTCAGAAGACAACTTCTCCCTCTCCCCCTTCTTCAAGGGAATGCCTAGTCCCATGACAGTGTGTACGTTTTCTTTAAAGCAGACGCTATGTGAATGCTTATGGACTTCGGAGAATGATAACATGCCAGTAAGCAATCAACTAAGTAATGATGGGGTAAGGCAGAGTGCTCAGGGCCCTCAAGGAATCTCAGGCATGGCAGGAATCCTGATAAAAACCTCCGAGTGGCTGTCAGTTCCGATGCTGGAATGCATCGTAATAAAAAAATGCATGCACCCAGGGTGGTCCAGCCCATCCTTGGAGACCTCTTTTGAAGAGTTTCTCCACATTTCAGGTCATACTCATCCTCGGCCCGCTGGACTGTTCCTCCATCAGAAGAATCTATGCTACAGTCAGAATGGCATTCCTAGGCACTTCCCAACTCGTATTAGCCCCACCTTCTGTTTCAGGGCCCTTTGCCAGGAAACCCCATTCCTTTTCCTCTAAACATGGCCATTACCCTCCGGCTCTGTAGGACACAGCACTTCCCTGACTGGTTGTCACAGATTTTAACATGGTGGCGGAGACTGAAGAGAAGAGTCCTATTTTCTTTTTAAGATTCTTAGAGGGGACAGGGAGGGGCTGGCCACTTTCCCCAGGCTGAGTTCATGAGTTTATGTCAGGATAGATGAGGCAGACCAGCAGCTGGCACACTGAGCTACAGGAAAAAGGAAGAACCAAATCAAAGTGAAACAGGCTCCACACCACTCAGCAGCCTTGCAATTTAACAATTAACCGAATGTTGGTTGGCAGCAAAGCTGGGGGAGTGAGATTATTGGCACGTTTGACTGATAGGTCTATCATTAAGGAGAAATGCCAGTTTGTTTCCTAAAGGGGCTGTACAAATTTATACCACCCTCCACCCCTCTGGCAACGTGCAAGAGCTTCAGTAGTTTCACATCCTCCCTAAATTTTTGATATTGTCAGACTTACATTGTTTTTCAATATAGTGGTGTAAATTGGAATTTTGAGTTTTTAAAATATATATATTTTTATTGATTTAAGGGAGGAAGAGAGAGATAGAAATATCAATGATGAGAATCATTGAGCGGCTGACTCCTGCATGCCCCACAATGGGGATGGAGCCCACAACTGGGACATGTGCCCTGACCGGGAATCGAACCGTAACCTCCTAGTTCATAGGTCAATGCTCAACCACTGAGTTATGCTGTCCAGGCAGAATCTTGAGGTTTTGAATTGTATTTTTCTCAATTACTTACAATTTTTTTTTAACATTTCTTGGCTATACTGTATGTTTCCTCTAAATAAAATTCCTAGCTACATCTTTTACCCACTTCTCTATTGAGTGGTTCGTGGTTACTGGTTGTAGGAGTTATGTTGTTGAGACCAGTCCTTTGCCTGTGTGTGTCCCAGTCAATACCATGTGAGACAGAAGAACTGGACACACAGCATGGGCAGCAGCAAGGCTGGCAGCAGCTGGGCACCCAGCATGGGTGAGCCCATGAACTCATGAGAAATAGTAAATAGTTGTTTTTAGTGATGGTTTGTAACAAAGCAACAGATAATTAAAATAATATAAAACTTTGTTTTATTCATATCCTAAGGCCCAAGTTTTCTTTCATAACATTATTGAACTTTGGTATCATTTTTAGCTGATCAATCTTCCCAGAGTTGTATCTATTTTGTTCAATTTAGAAAAGGCCAAACTTTTGGTTTTGTTGAAAAAAAAAAAAAAATATATATATATATATATATATATATACACTTTCTGTTTTACTAATTTCTACTCTTGTTTGTTTAGGTATTCATTTTCTTCTGTGTAGTTTGGGGGCAATGCTATTGCTTTTCTCTTAACTTCTTAAGTTGGGGCATTTAACTCATTGATTTTGAGGTTTTCTTCTCTTCTTATATAAATACTTAAACATATAAATCATCCTCAAAGCATTTTTTGTTGCATCCCATGAGTTTTGGGATGTCACGTTTATTATTATCCAACTCTACACATTTAGATAACTCCTCTATACTATAGATTTTACTCCTGTGTTTTGTACATTTATCCACTTCCCCCACCCATCTTAGCTCTGTATGGCCCAACCAGAAAGGGGTGCTACTGGCATCTAGTGGGTAGAAGCCAGATGCTGCCAAACACTCCTCCTAGGTCACAACACGGCACCTTCACCAGCCAACAAAGAATTATCTTGCTGGTGCTCAGTCCCACAACATTGTCTAATTTGTTTTGAAATTAAAACTTAAGTATCATTGAGCAGAAGCAAAAGACACAGTTTTGGGTCTGAGTCTGTCCAAATCAGCTATCTAACATGACCCCATGAAATGTTCTCATGTGAAAAATGGAGATAATTATTTTGGGGGGACTATATGAAGCTCAGAATGGATCATGCATATGATGTGCAGCAGGTGTATAAATCCTGGTATATAAATCAGGATGCTTTACAATAAAACCAAACGCAGTGTGGAATGCACAGAATTTATTAAGAAATAGAGGTACAACTTCCCCTAACCAGGAAGCCAACTCAGAGTGACTGTGGAAGAAGAAAGCAGGATTACAGGAACCAGGAGCGCATGGGAAATGAAAACAGGACTGAGAAGATTTTCAGCAGTTGCAGAAAACCTATGTAACAGTTACAAGAATTCCTTTTTCTAAGTTACTCAGAGGATGAAGACCTGGACTACGGAGTCAAAGCAGAGACCACAGCTCCATATCGAGGATGCAAGAAGCTGACACATGTTCCATACACACGGGAGGAAGAGGATTGGGGACGTCCTCTGCTCTCCATCCAGCTGATTCAGAGGCTGTATCAGGCACACGAGTCACAGAAATTTAGGTACCGCATGCTGGTTGTCAGCCAAGTTGAGGAAGTGAATTTTTTTCCAAAATGGCAAGTCAGTTAAGAGGTGTTGTGTGAAGATGGTGGTTCTTTGGTGAGGTGATCAGCAGCAGGAAGGCTGGCAGCAGCTGGACACACAGCAAGGGCAGCAGCAGCAGCTGGGTCGGCAGCAGGTGGTTTTACAGCAGGTGGTCTGACAGCAGGTTGGGCGGCAGCAAGGCTGGCAGCAGCTGGACACACAACAGGGGCGGCAGCAAGGCTGGCAGCAGCTGGACACACAGCATGGGCGGCAGCAAGGCTGGCAGCAGCTGGATCCACAGCATGGGCGGCAGCAAGGCTGGCAGCAGCAGGATCCGCCACAGCTGGACCCACAGCAGCTGGGCTGGCAGCAGGGAGTGCTACAGCAGCAAGGCTGGCAGCAGCTGGACACACAACAGGGGCGGCAGCATGGCTGGCAGCAGCTGGACACACAACAGGGGCGGCAGCAAGGCTGGCAGCAGCAGGACCCACAGCTGGACCCACAGCAGGTGGGCCTGCAGCAGCTGGGCTGGCAGCAAGGGGAGCAGCACATGGTGTCAGGTATGGAGGGTGGGTTCCTGTTCAGAGGTGAGTTTCTCAGATGCTGAGGGCTCCCCTTCTATCCTGTGGCTTTTATACGCTCTCCCACCCAATTTGGACCAATGAGCAGAACTTTCCTTGTTGTTGTTCATATTGTTTTCCACAGTCAATGGGGAATTGTAAAAAAGGAAGTTATTTTCTACATGTTTTAATGAGTAGCAGATAAGTGTTTAATATGTTTCTTAATTGAGAATTACGGAAACTTTTTCAGATAAAAGGATGTTAGCATCGTTCCTGCTTTGTTCATAATCTAGTCATAAGATACAGTTCCTGATCATCTCATTAGGTTCAATACACCTTCCCTCCTCAGGTATTTTTAAATTGAATTTATTGGGATGATATTGATTTGCAACACCATACAGGTTTGAAGTGTACAGGGCAACAAAACATCATCTGCACATTGCCTCGTGCACCCTCCGCCCCAAACAGTCTGTTCCGGTCTCCATTTTCCCTCCCTCTGCCCACCTCCACCTATCCCCACCCCCCTTCCCCTCTGGCTATCACCGCACTGTTGTCTGTGTCTATGTGTTATGTATATGTTTTTTGACTAATCCCTTCACCTTCTTCCATCCAGCACCCCCTCCTCTCTGACAGATACAAGACTGTTCCATGAATTAATGCAGCGGTTCTCAACCTGTGGGTCGTGACCCCTTTGGCGGTCGAACGACCCTTTCACAGGGGTCGCCTAAGACCATCCTGCATATCAGATATTTACATGATGATTCATAACAGCAGCAACATTACAGTTATGAAGTAGCAACGAAAATAATTTTATGGTTGGGTCACAACATGAGGAACTGTATTTAAAGGGCCAGAAGGTTGAGAACCACTGCATTAATGCCTCTGTTTCTGTTCTGTTCATTGTTTCTTCAGCTGACTTTGGGACTTATTTCTGGGGTGATGGGCACGATGCTGACATGTTTACAGTGACAAACTGAATCCATGCCCAAGTCCAACTCTGTGTCAGGGAGAAAAAAAGTTCTCCTTTACCCTTCTAGGTTCTGCTTGCTGGTCTAAGAGTTAAATGGACAAAATCTGATTAACAGGAAGAAAACAAACAACCATTTAAGAACATGTATAGCTCCTGTATACATGGGAGAGAATCGGGAACTAAGTCACTCCCCTGAGATGGCATCTGCCTTCATCTTAACGCCATCTTCAATAAAGACAAAAGCAGACCTGGGGAGTGGGGCGTTAGTTATGAGAGGTTGCCAGGAGAAGCACAGCAAACAAGGGTAAAGTTGTTCAGAGTGAAGTCCCTGCCTTCTCCATTGGTAGGAGTTTCTAGAGAATGTCATCCCCACCTCCTGGTATAGCGTAAAGGGGAAAAAACATAATTTTCCCCTGTACATTCACCCCCTTTTTAACCAAAAGTAATTATAGTAAATCTAATTTGTTTTCATAACAAGTCGAGTCTTACGAAATTTGGCCTGTTTATTTACCTAAGAGCGGCAAGAGTGGTGATGGGTCATATAGGCTCGAATATTTATGTTTACAGTTTATTAAAATTTTCAGGGTGATTTTGGTTAATAAAATTATATAGGTTTCAAGTGTATGATTCTATAATACATGGTCTGTATATTGCATTGTGTGTTCACTAACCAAAGTCAAGTCTCTTTCCGTCATCATATATCTGACCCCCTTTACCCTTTTTACCTCCCCCACCCACTCTGGTAACCACAACACTGTTGTCTGTGTCTATGAGTTTTTGTCTTATATGTTCAGTTTTATATCCCACATGAGTAAAATTATATGGTTCCTGACTTTTTTTTTATCTGACTTATTTTGCTTAGTATTATATCCTCAAGATCCACCCATATTGTTGCAAATGGCAGTATGTAATCTTTTCTTATGGCTGAGTAGTATTCCATTGTATATATGTATCGTATCTTCTTTATCCAATCATCAATGAAGGACACTTAGGTTGTTTCCAAGTCTTGACCACCTTGAATCATGTTGCAATTAAATAGGCATACATACATCTTTACAAACAAATGTTTTCAAATCTCGGGGTAGATACCCAGAAGATGGATTGTTGGGTCAAATGGTAACTCCATCCTTAGTTTTTTTTTGAGAAAGCTCCATATTGTTATCCTAGTGGCTGTACCAGTTTAGATTCCCACTAGCTGTGCCTGAGGGTTCCTTTTTCTTTACATCCTCTCAACACTTGCTATTACTTCTCTTGTTGATAATAGCCATTTTAACAGGTGTGAGGTGGTACCTCACTGTGGTTGTGATTACATTCTTTTAAATCTGTTTTGCTGGTACTTTTCACGTGGAATCTTCAGACTGAACTTTTAACAGCCTCTCGAGGCTAAGAAGCCAAGCCAGAAGATGCTTGCAATCAGCTTTGCCTGCAATACCTATAGATTTAGGTCAATTTCTCTCTTCTTGAGCTCCCCCAAATATCCTGAGGTTCTTCCCACAGAAAATTCGCACTGATTTCTTTTCCCTTCTTCACCCTTCCATGAATAGAAGATCTAATTTACTGTAGATCTTAGCAACCTCAGCCTATGTTTGTTTGTTTCTTTTTTTATTAGGTTAAGAACTTTCACTTTTTCGCTTAAAGGAAGCACTTTACAGTTTCTCTTTAGCATATCTGAGCTGCCAGCATCACTCTCTTACACTTGGGGCCATTATTAAGCGAACACGAGTTACTTGAACACAAGCACTGCAGTAGCAAGGCAGCTGACCAAATAACTGAGACAGCTAGTAAGTGACTTACGGCTGAGCAGGGCATATAGTATGGATTTACTTGACAAAGGGAGGATTCACTACCCAGCTGGGATGGAGCAGGACAGTGCAAGACTTCACCATGCTACTCAGAATGGCGTGCGACTTAAAACCTATGAACTGTTTATTTCTTGAATTTTCCATTTACTGTTTTCAGACCATGGGTGACTGTGGGGTAACTAAAACTACAGAAAGCAAAACCTCAGATTCAAGGGGGAACTGCTGTATACTGAAAAGTGTATAAAACATTCACGTATAATATAATAATTATGAAGCAAGCATCTATCTATGCCAAAACCCAAGTCAAACAAAAGAGCATTGCTGTCACCAAGAGGGCCCTGGATGTGTCTTCTCTTGACCACATCGCTCTCCTTCCCCCCTACATATAATCACTGCCCCGATTCTTAATCTTTTCACGGGTGTGCTTTACAGTTTTACCACCTAGGTATGCATCCTAACCATGATAGTTCAGTTTTAGTTGTTTTTGAATTTTATAGAAGTGGGATCTTCATATATGTATGGTGTGTTTTTATTCTCTCACTCAATTAAGAGTGTGGTAGGCAGCCCCTTAGGTGGCCCAGTGATTTCTACCTCTTGGTGTTCATGGTCTTAACATAATTCCCTCCCTGTGAGTAACATGCTTCTAACCAACCACCTCTGGCAACATCAAGTGATTAAGTTATATGAGATGGTGACTTTCATCTTGCTAGCCGACTTTCTCTCGCCCTCAGAGCTTTGAGGAAGTGAGCGGCCCTGTGGGGGAGAAGTATGTGGCAAGTCACTGAGGACAGTCTCCATTCGACAACCAGCAGGGAACTGAGGCTCTCACTCCAATGGCCCTCGAGGACTGGAATCCTGTCAACAACTACATCTGTGAACTTGGAAGTGGATTCTTCTCCAGCTAAGACTTGAGATGAGATGCCAGTGCCAGCTAACACCCTGATTGCAGCCTTATGAATCATTAAGGAATAGAGAGCCCAGCTGAGCTTTACTTGGGATTCCTGATGCACGAAAACTATGAGACAGTAAATGAGTCTCATTTTAAGCTGCTAAAATTTGAGGTAATATTAGCTAACAATAGATCATTTGTACAGATTTATCTAGTACCACACAACACAGAGATGAGGATGAAGGGATCAAAGGGTGCAGAGAAGTTAACAGGCTAGAATAGCTCTAGCCACAAGGCCAGGAAACCCAACCAGCTGAATAAGCTCCCTAGGAGGACTCAGGGGGTGCCCTGTGTACTAAGGTAAGAAGGAATGAACAGGTAGAGAGATCTATTCTCTAAGGTTGGAGCTCGTGGTAGGGAATATTGTCACAGAACTGAGTTCCCAAGGAGCAATGAGAATGAGAATGTCCTTGAAGTAGCAGAGGCCAGCTGGCAGCATTTAATGGTCAGAGTAATGTGGGTATAAATATGTGATGGGCAGCAAGCACATTTGGGATGACAACTGGGGGTGAAGTGCTGTGGGACCCACAGGCTGAGGTTAGTGATCCCAATGGGAAATTATGACCCCTCACCCAGTTTCCAGGCTGAGCCAGTTCTCAGATCTACAACCCACTGACTCATTGAAAGTAAGGCCAGTCCTCCAAGACCAAGGACCACAGCAAGTGTATATAGCATTGATCACTCTAGTCCAGCCGTGGGCAAACTACGGCCCGCGGGCCGGATGCGGCCCATTTGAAATGAATAAAACTAAAAAAAAAAAAAAAAGACAGTACACTTTTATGTAATGATGCTTACTTTGAATTTATATTAGTTCACACAAACACTCCATCCATGCTTTTGTTCCAGCCCTCCGGTCCAGTTTAAGAACCCATTGTGGCCCTCGAGTCAAAAAGTTTGCCCACCCCTGCTCTAGTCCTTTCCCAAAGGAATCCACAGCCATTTCCTCAGGGGACACTGGAATACCCCTATTGGACGTTGTTGGTTACTGTATCTAAGTTGACACTGACAGTTGACAACCATTCATAATATATGTTTAAAATGTGTTAAAGGACACAAGTAATTACATTTGGAATACTGGCGTCTCAGATTGGGTGCCCTCAGGAACAGACTCCCAAACAGGGGTTTGAGATGTAGTAGTTTATTTGGGAGATCATCCTAAAAGGCACTGCAGGGAACCTGGGAAGTGATCTGGGGAAGGGACGGAGGCCAGTGTAGGGTGATGGAATGAGCAGCTTACTCCTGTGGGCAGCTGGGCGTCACTCCACCAAGGACCTCTAAAGAGTGGTACTCCTTGCCCCCACCTGAGAGGAAAGAACTAGAGTATGTACCCACTGCACCCATCACTGGCCGAACATTGATTCTACACACTTGGACCCCCGGCCTGCCTTGAGCTGGCTCCTTCATCCGGAGAAAGACCACAGGCCGACAGATCAAAGTGTTTGCTGTAAGAAACCACCTTCCTACATTAAAACAAGAATGCTGAGGGCATAGAGGGGGCGCATCCTGAAATCACCTGCTGTCCTCTGCTCTCTGCAGAGAGAACAACAGAACAACAGAACAACTGGCAAGTCAAGAGGAAAAATGATCAGACACGATACTCTTGTATTTGTATGCCTGGGAAATTCAGATTTATTTAAGATTTAGGGACATCTCCATTTGAAAAAAGATGGCCGGGAAGAAATATATCAATAGGGATGACATGTTGGTTGAAAGATTTCAGAGAAAATTCAAACTTTGTGTTCATCTGGGAGACAGGTAGTAGCATGCTCTTGGGGGGTGGGGGGGACAATATATATTAGGAGGCCAAAATCAGTTTAAGAATCAGTTGGAACTAAGTTTTGACAATTGGCCTCTCATGACTCAGTTCAGTTAAACTACATCAAGAAGATTGGCTGATGAAAACCAGTGGGCACAGTTCAGGGAAGTCAGCAGACTGGGCGGCAGCAGGTGGTCTGGCAGCAGGTGGGACGGCAGCAGGTGGTCTTGCAACAGAGGGTCGGGCAGCAGCTAGGGCGGCAGCAGCTCGACATACAGCAGCTGGGGCGGCAGCAACTGGACACACAGCAGCTGGGGCGGCAGCAACTGGAGCCACAGCAGGAGCCACAGCAGCTGGGGCGGCAGCAGCTCGACACACAGCAGCTGGGGCGGCAGCAGCTGGAGCCACAGCAGGAGCCACAGCAGGAGGGGCGGCGGCAGCTGGACACACAGCAGCTGGGGCGGCAGCAGGTGGTCTGGCAGCAGGTGGGGCGGCAACAGCTAGAGATGCAGCAGGTTGGCCTGCAGCAGCTGGAGCCACAGCTGGAGCCACAGCAGGTAGGCCTGCAGCAGCTGGAGCCACAGCTGGAGCCACAGCAGGTAGGCCTGCAGCAGCTGGAGCCACAGCAGGGGCGGCAGCAGCTGGAGCCACAGCAGGAGGGGCGGCAGCAGCTGGACACACAGCAGCTGGGGCGGCAGCAGGTGGTCTGGCAGCAGCCTTGGCCACAGCCCTGGTCAGAGCACACGGATCCACAGCAGGAGTTGACCATGGTGTCAGAGGGTGGAGGTTCGGAGTGAGTTTTCAGGAAGGTGGGTTGGAAGGTTTGGAAGTCTGCTCGCCCCAGGTCCCCTTTTATACCCTGCTAAGGGCTGCTGTCATCAGAAGCTGTGCTCTTTCCTTGTCCTGTTTGTCCTAATTAACAGGTGATTAGGAAATTAGCCAGGTTTGTTTTCCTGGCTACCCTTTCAAGATGGATGGAAACATTGTTTCCTTTTCCTGATGGGTTAGGATTCCTCACTTCAGCTCTTCCTGGATCTTCTCTTATGTGTCTTTCTTGCTTCATCTTCCTTAAAGAAAGCTGTCATGTGATTTATGCATTTAGATCATGTATGTGTGTCTCATGTTGCACAGCCCAACATGTCTCCCTTTGGGTCATAATAAGCCACATTCCTTTTGGTGACTTAGGGGGATACAGCTGCATTTTAGTTTGATGTCTCATTCATTGTGGGCCAGGTGGGCAGAGAAGTGTTGAATGTGAATCAGGGCATCGCTGGCATAAGAATAGACTCTTAGGATATTTCCTCTCCCCACTGCTAATCAGGGACCATTTTCCAGACTTTCAGATGGGAAATAAGTAACTGGTGTACGAGGAAAAACCAAGTCATGAAATTTTGATGTTTCTTCTTTTCCCTCAGCTCTACTGAGGAATATGTAATATGCAAAATATTACACTTCTAATGTATACATTCTGATGAGTTTGGACATATGCATGTACCATAATACCATTTCCATAATTAAGGTAATAAATATATCCATCACCTCAAAAATATTTCTTTCCATCCCCTTCATTTTTTGTGTGTGTGGTAAGAACATTAACCTAAGATTTACCTTCTTAACAAGATTTTAAGTGTACCATACTATATTGTCAACTATAGCCATAACGTTGTACAGCAGACCTGTAGATGTTATTTGCCTTGTATCACTGTAATTCTATACCCATTGAACAACAGCTCGCCATTTCCTACTACGCCAGCCTCTGCAAACCAAAATTTTATTCTATGCTCCTTTTGTGTATTTAATATTTCAAATGAGTGATTCATGCAATATTGGTCCTTCTGTGACTGATTTATTTCACTTAGCATAATATCTTCCAGGCCCATCCATGTTATCATAACTGGCAGGGTTTCCTTTCTTTTTTTTAAAACCATTTCCTTTCTGAATAATATTCATGTTCGTTAATGTATCAGAGTTGGCATGCATTGTGCAGTTCAGGGTGTCATGGCAGAAAGTGGTTGGCAATGAGTGTGAACTTATACCGAGGTTACTATCGCGGGGGAAAACCTTTGCCTTTTTCATTCTGAACTGCTTTAGTCTCTGCTGAGAGATGTGTAGGGGTTATTTAATCTTTTTTTTTTTTTTTACCTGATACAAGCAGTAACATTTTCTATGCGGTTATACCTGAGATAGAGGTGCTGAGGGTGAATACAACATTAGGGAGTATGGCTAGTTAATATAAATACTCCCACGAAGTTTAGGTATACTTACTGCTCCCCAAATCAGGTGCCATATATTGGATTAGTAACGACTCTTTCAGATCTAAGACAGGCTGTGACTTTCATCTTAGATTTAGTCTCCTATGCAAGGATGTCTAAAGCTCTTTGAACCTGAAACTGTTGAGGGGCCCTTCATGGGTGAATGATGGAACACATAAACTGTGATACACCACGGAACAAGCTATTGATACAAAGAACAACATGCATGATCTCAAGGGAAGGATGCTGAGTGTGAAAAACCAATCACAGAGGTTACACACTGTAAGATTCCATTTGTAGAACATGCTGGAAATAAAATTATAGAGATGGAGAACAGAGTAGTGGTAGGCAGGGGTGTCGGATGATGAGTGGGAGGGAGTGGGTGTGGCTACAAAGATAGAGCCTTATGGAGAAGGGCAGTTCTGTATCTTAATTGTGATGGTGATTACACAAATCCATACAGCACATATGATAATCTGCATAGAACCCCCCCCCACACACACACACACACACACACTCATGAGTGCATGTAATACAGGTAAAATCTGAACCAGTTCTGGGGATTGTACTGTGTCAGTTTTAGAGTTTTGAGATTTCTATAATTACTTAAGATGTGACCATTTGTTTTGTTTTTTGCTATTGACTTATATAAGTTCTCTATATATTTTGGAAGTTAGCCCAGCATCAACTATACAATTTGCACATATTTGCTCCCATTCAGTAGGTTGCCTTTTTATTTTGTTGATTCTTTCCTTCCTTTGCTACATAGAAGTTTTTTAGTTTGCTGCAGTTTCATTTTTTTAGTTTTTTTGCCATTGTGTTGGTGTCAACTCCAAAAAATTATTGCCAAGATCTATGAGAATGAGCTTACTGCCTATGTTTTCTTCTAGGAATTTTATAGTTTCAGAGCTTACATTCAAGTATTTAACTCATTTTGAGTTAATTTTTGCATATGGTGTAAGATAGTGGCCCAACTTTATTCTTCTGGATGTGACTTCACTGTTTTCCCAATACCATTTAGTGAAAAAACTGACCTTTCCCCACAGTGTATTCTTGGCTTCTTTGTCATAAATTAATTGACCATATATATTTGGGTTTAATTCTGGGCTCTCTGTTCTGTTCCATTGATCTATGTGTCTGTTTTTATACCGAATGCCATACTGTTTTGATTACTATAGCTTTGTAAAATAGTTCGAAATCAGAGAGCATGGTGCCTCCAGGTTTGCTCTTCTTTCTCAAGATGGCTTTGGATATACTGGATCTCTTGTCATTCCATATAAATTTTAGGATGTTTTTTTCTATTTCTGACATGAAAAATTTCATGGGGATTGCACAGAATCTATAGGTTGCTTTCAGTAGTATGCTGATATTGTGACTACTTCCTTTTATCTATAAAAGTTTCAATGAGTTGTTCTCAATTAAGGAACACATTAAACACCAATTTTCTAAATATTCATATCACTTAGGGAACAACTTCCTCCTTGACAATTTCCCTGTGATTACCAAAACAACATAAACAAAAACAAGGAAAGTCTTACTGATTGGCCCCAACATTGGGGGCCCAGTGTATAAAAACCCCAGAACAGAAGAAGTCCCCAGAATCTGAAAAACTCACCTCTGAACAGAAACTCACCTTCTCCTCCTGATACCATGTGCTGCTCCCCTTGCTGCCAGCCCACCTGCTGTGGGTCCAGCTGCTGCCAGCCTTGCTGCCGTCCATGCTGTGTGTCCAGCTGCTGCCAGCCATGCTGCCGCCCATGCTGTGTGTCCAGCTGCTGCCAGCCTTGCTGCCGCCCATGCTGTGTGTCTAGCTGCTGCCAGCCTTGCTGCCGCCCATGCTGTGGATCCAGCTGCTGCAGTCCATGCTGTGGGTCTAGCTGCTGCCAGCCTTGCTGTCGCCCATGCTGTGGATCCAGCTGCTGCAGTCCATGCTGTGGGTCTAGCTGCTGCCAGCCTTGCTGCCGCCCATGCTGTGTGTCCAGCTGCTGCCAGCCTTGCTGCCGCCCATGCTGTGGATCCAGCTGCTGCAATCCATGCTGTGGGTCTAGCTGCTGCCAGCCTTGCTGCAGCCCATGCTGTGGATCCAGCTGCTGCCGCCCATGCTGTGTGTCCAGCTGCTGCCAGCCTTGCTGCCGCCCATGCTGTGTGTCCAGCTGCTGCCAGCCTTGCTGCCGCCCAACCTGCTGTCAGACCACCTGCTGTAGGACTACCTGCTGCAGACCCAGCTGCTGCTGCCGCCCATGCTGTGTGTCCAGCTGCTGCCAGCCTTCCTGCTGCTGATCATCTTGTCAGAAAACCAAAATGTGAGCATAACATCTTCGGCTAACTGACTTGCCATTTTGGAGACTTGTTCACTTCCTAGACTTAGCAACCAGCATGCTTGACCATAATTTTCTGGGACTCATTTGCCTGATACAAGCTTCTGAATCAGCCTGATGGGGTGCACAGGACGTCCCTGATCCTCTCCCTCCCGGGTTGGTGGATCATGTGCCAGCTTCCTGCATCCTCGATATGGAGCTATGGTCTCTGCTTTGAGTCTGTAGTCAAGGTCTTCACCCACTCCCTCTGTGTAACTTAGAAAAACAAATTCTTATAATTTTTAAAAGGTTTTACAACTGATAAATAATCCTCATAATCGTATGTTCCTTATCAATGTAGTCATGCTTCTTGTAACATGCTTTGTTTTTTTAGGATCACTTTGAACTGTATTCCTAACTGCAGGAGTCTTACCCTTTGTTTCTTAATAAATTCTATAGCATAAAATTCATCCATATTGTGCTTTATTTATTGCGCCGAATTCTTGACACAGGGATTTAAATACATACTGCATACTATATGTATTAGTAGGGACTGAGCATCGTAACAGCCCCACAAAGAGTTATCTCTGTTTGTAGGGGGGAACCCCCATTAATTGATTAAGGTCACGTAGCTAAGACTGGACTGACTCAGATCCAGGAAAGTCTTCTGTTTCTGCCCAAAGGCACGCACATTTACATCCCAAAGAAGCCTCGGGTGAATGTTGTCATGGGGCATGCACCACTCAGTAAATCCCCACATTCCCGATGCACTTCTCCCTGCTCTCTACCTTTCCTGACAAGTGTCCCTCACCAAATAGGAACTGCATCCTCTGCCTGCTATTCTATTCCTATGACATTCCAAACTGACCAGATGATTGTTCTGACTTAGATGATGTCCCTGACAAAAATGTGCTCTCACAGGAGTAGAACCTTCAGTCCAGGAGGGTCTGCAGCCGTGATGGGACGGGAAGCACAGATTCCCAAGTGTGTCACTAGTGGTTAACGTGAGGAGATTCACTCTGATGTCTGCCCAACCCATGTGTACTCCCATTCAAGGATATCTGCGGTCCTACGTTAATGATATAGTAACGGCCATTGGGTTAAGGTACAGTCCACATCCAGAAGACAATATATCAATCCTGTATGTTGTCACCTCTATGGTGGTGTCGTTGCTGCACATCTAAGAGACCAGTCCAATTTTTTACCAGGCCAGAAATTTCTGTCATGTAATGCACGGTAGGACAAGTAGATCCATGGTTACGTGCCTATTGTTGACCTTGTTCATCATAGAGTGGGTCCCTTGGCCCAAAGTGATGCTATTCAGGGTCCTATGACAATACTGTAAGCTGGTGGATAGCACTGCAGACAGGGAAGACAATTCTTTTTGCCAAACGTGCAATCAAGGTAAGGAAGGACTGCCTTTTTCAGAAGTGATCCGAGTGGAACACTTGGGTCCACTTGGGGTGGTTAGTCTTCATAAATGATGCTATGGATACCAACTCACCTCTTGTCCCGACTTATGACGACAGCACATCCAGCGGAGGCAACTGTGGGGAGAGGGAACCTGTGCTGTGGGTCCACACCTGCCTCAATCCCTGCCACCATGGCTACTTGGTTCATGCCCCTGTGCAAGTACCGGTGCACCTGAGGGCCTGGACAATGTGAGTTATACCAACTTGTACTTGTCCAGAGCTTCCTCAGTGGTGGATGCTCTCTGGGGAGCACTGATGTGGCACACAAAGAGGAAGCACCATCTTCTGACACACCATCTCCATGGACACGATTCTTCTCCAAATGCCTTTATCTTCCAATCATGCTTCTTCCAGGGATAAGATAACTCAATCAGGCCTTTCACCATTTGCAAGTAGCCAATAAACATCATTTTCTGAAGCCATCGACCACCTCCCATACAAAATTACACACACACACACAATCATTGTACTCATCACAGTTCTTTTCATTGGGAATATATCCTCTTTCCACTGCCTTTGCAGACCAAAAGTTTTTCATCTGTTGCAGTAAAAATTCTCCATCTGGCATAAAAGCTGCCATTGGGGCCATCAATCACTGAAGTTTAGGTAGTCCGTGTTCATATATTATAACCAAGTAGGGTTTGAAGGAGTCAGATGGAATTGTGCTGAAAATTACCACTCATGTATTTTTTTAGTCATTGAGATGAGCACTAAACTCTCCATGGATGTGCCATGATTTCTCATTAATACCTTTGTTTTAATGTTTATAATTTGTAAACTGAGGTTAGTTTGCATTAACTCAGGGATTCAAAGATTATCAAAATAGACACTATCTTAGATTATTGAGGAAGAGAAGAAAAACTATTCTCTATAAATAATAAGGGTGATGAATATATTTTTTTCTGGAACATCCCTTGAAAATATAAGAATTGGGGTCTCTTATAAAGGTATCTGACTACAGACAGACTGAACCAGTAATATAGGGGGGGGGGAAGAGAAAGAAAACACTTCTAGATTAATCCATCGGCAGACCTATATGTAAGATGGTAGCTGAAAAATGAAGATATATTTGTAAGAGATCACACAGTATATTGAGAAACCATTCATGAGTTGGTTTAAGTGTATTCTATCTTTACCCCCAAAACATATGGCTAGTGAGTGCCAGAATAGGAATTGGGGACTCTTCCATATGAGTTTAATTCCCTTAACCAAACTATGTTGCATTCTACTTTCACCATAGAAAACTTACGGCCGAGGATAAAACAAGAGGTAAATAGATGCACAATCTTGGTGGCAATTTAGTATAGAAAATGGATAAGGCAAACTAGAAGCACCTTACAAAACAGCATAGGCACAAGTAATAAGAATGATAAGATATGGCCGTATACTGTACAGGATAAGGAGATCTCATTCCACTAAACCAGAACCCGATAACACCTAGAATATTTTGAGAAACAACTCTGAACTTCATCTTACAAATCAAGATCCGTTTTCAAGGTTAGTGACAAGGGCCTTGGGGGAAAAATGCACATCATAAAATTCATGCAGGCAACAGGGAAATGCTGTCCTTTGTCAGGAAGCATCGCATGAGGCGGGGAAACACATGTCAGAGATCAGAGTGAAGGGAATGCGATGCTGCAGCAGGCCTCTCAGGGGACAAGGTGACTAATGAGAGGAGGAGCTGCTCTGCAATGCCACCTGACTGTCTGATCAAAGGGACCCCGATGAGCAAAAGATGCAGGAGGCCCAGGAGGGTGGACGCTCAGATAAGGAAGCTGAGTCTCGCAATCATCATATGAAGAGAAAGTAGCCAATTCTACATTATTTCATTCATATAAAGTTTAAGAGCAGCCTAAACTCATGACCTTTGGGGATGAGTGAGCGCTAAAATTTGAAAGGGGATGAGGGTGAGATTCTCTCTCTCAACCAGGGTGACATGGATGTTCACTTTGAGATCTTTTATCAAGTTGAAAATTAATAACAATTTACTAAGTTGGAAATTATATATTTGAGCACTTTTTAAGATGAATGTTAAGCCATAAAAACTTTTGAACATGTTCATACTCAATGATACTTCAGGTATCATCTTTCCTGATCTAATTATTACATTAATGACAAAAAGAAAGACAGTGTGCAGTCAGTGACCTAAGTGACTCTGGAATAAACAGACTGGGCATCAAGTCACCAACCACTGGACCTGCCCAGGCAGCAGGCACTCTATGGGTCAGAGGACCCACCCGATTATGAAGCAGGAACATGCTGATAATGTGACCATTTCTTATTTATCTATAGAAAGGTTCCTATGAGTTATTCTCAATTAAAAAAATAGATTAAGAACTTATTTTGAAGAGATTAATTACATTTAGGGAACAACTTCCTCTTCAAAATTTTCCAAGTGACAACATTAAATATGTAAACAAGAACAAGGAAAACCCGGGCCATTCGTGCCAACATTTTGGGCCGCAGGTATAAAAGCTCCAGAAAAGGAGTCATCAGAATCCGAAAAACTCACCTCTGAACAGGAACCCACCCTCCACACCTGACACCATGTGCTGCTCCCCTTGCTGCCAGCCCAGCTGCTGCCGCCGCCCTTGCTGTGTGTCCAGCTGCTGCCAGCCTTCATGTTGATGAGTCTTCCCTCAAGAACCACCAACTGGAAATAACACCATCTGTGAACTGATTTGCCATGTGGACAATTTCACTTCCTAGACTTCGAAGACAGCCAGCATACCACCACCACCATTCCTGTCATGCACCAGCCGGCTCAGAGGCTTGAGATGCAGTGTAGAGGCCTTCACTCGGTTCTCTCTCCCCCATGCTATGGATCACTAGTCAGCTTCCTGCACCCTCGATATGGAGTCATGTTCTTGCTTTGACTCTTAAGTCAGGATCTCTTGCTCCTTTTAAGTAACTCATCTTCATAATTTTTAATAGGTTTCTGCAATTGATCAATATCTTCATAATCATATATGCATAGTTTTTATCCTATTTCTTCTTTTCACAATCACTTTGTAACCTCTCCCTGGATGCAGGAAACCTTACACATTCCTTAATAAAATCAGTACCTTTTAAATCCCATACTGTGTTTTCTTTTACTGTACAGTATTCCTGACATAGGAAGTCATATACCTATTGCACACCATGTGCAGCATCCAACTAGAGCTGCAGAATGGACCTCCATGAATTATTACCCAGTTTTAGATGAGAAAACTTCATTGTGTGATGCCATGTAATAACGGACAGACTGAGATCCAGGATGGGGTCTTCTGTTCCTGCTCAAGGGCACCAACGCTCACAGGTCAATACAAGCGGCAATGATACTGAGTGCTGAGGTCTAGCAAGAGTGCAATTAATTTTCTACCTCAACAGTGGCAGGAATAATCCCTCATGTGTATAGATGGTGTTGTTTACAACATTCCTCCCGTGTCAGGTCCCGGCAGCGACATGCTCGGGCAGCAGGGACCGCATCTGCAGCTCTCATGAGTGCAGGGAGCCTTTCCTGTCTCAGGCG